AGGAGTGGGTTGAAGACAACGTTGCGGTATACTCGTACGTGACGTACGTAAGTGACGGCGCCGCCAGTCATTTCAAGAATCGCTACCAGCTTCACCAATTCGCAAAGGACGATTGCCCACAAGCCCAGTGGTTATTTTCTGCATCTGGACATGGGAAAAATGCATGTGACGGAGTTGGCGGACTCGTGAAGCACCAGGCCACGCTGAACAACCTGAGAGAACGTTCAGTAAGCGCAATTCAGACGGCCAGGACAATGGTGAGCGTTCTATCAAAGAAACTGAAAGGCGTGCATCTTGTATATCTGGACGAAAATGAGGTTGTTCGGTATCGTGAACAAAAAAAAAGAAGAGTGGCTGACGGTGCGCGCCTTCCCTGGCATTCAGTCTTGGCACGCGTGGCGGCTCAGCAAGTCATCAACAGAAGGGATCTGTGAGGTATATGTAGCGCGGACAGTCGGATCTGCTTGGAAGCAACTTTATTAAATGGGTACAGCGAAAAAAACCTTAGCGTAAAGTGCCGAATTTGATTTCCCAAGGACTGCTCATTTTGAATGCAGGGACATCTTATTTATCACATTTGTCTTCACGGGGTATTTAACCTACTGTTTTTGTTGGTGGTTACTAATAACTTTTATCTGATCACTATAAAAAAAATCCCAAAATGTTATCCTCGAGCAGGATAAACTATATCGGCTTGCCACGATTCATTCATACACCGAGAGCATCGAAGCTGCTCCAGTTAGGCACTATGGCATCCGTCACCTGAAATTGTTTGTAATCGTAAATACACAGCCAACCTAAATATCTTACTATTATATCTTTGTTTTTGTGTGTGGAAGTAAAGTTATTTATTTTACTCTAAATGTAAAATATACCGGAAGGTGCAACTTCACACTGCATCATCTTTTCTCAAATCATTAGTCTCTAATATGATACCACTTTGTACGCTTATGTAAAATGCTGTATATAGTTTCTCCTCCCTTTTACTGTGTGACCGATCGCTCTTTTTATCAATGACCTCATCTGAATAAATGTATATAAAAGATTTGTGCAAGTTTCATGAAACTGGAACTCAGAGTCACTTCTTGTATAGGACACTGCTAAGTGTAGGCTTTGAAAAAGGACCCTACTTTGGGGAGTTGTTTCTTCTTTTACAGTGCAATGATGCAACATGTTTTTAATAGAAATGAATGCCGAAATAGAGTATAAGAGGGTACCCAAATTTAAAAAAAATCGAAGGTGGTGTTTTTTTTTTATTCGCATTGGAATTTTTCTTTGTTTGATTTTTTTCCCATGTTTGCCTAAATATATTGTAACTATTGTGTCACTCAGATACCTTATTTATTTTTTCAATAATAGCCATATATTAGTAAAATAATGTCTGCAAGGTATGTAATAATGATTAAATTATTTCATGAGATACAGATTTCCAAAGTTCGCCATTTGTCGTTCGAGCAGGCATGTTTGGCAATTTTTAGAAAACTAAATAAATTTTTAATAAATATTATTACTTTATATTACAAGCAAGTTGTACCCATAGTTTGTTTGTAAAATGTTTTAAAATTCTCCTAATTTTATTGTTTTAATTATTCACTTTCAAACTTGCCCCCTCCATCAGTGCGCGTTATTGCAACTGTCCACCTCTCCCTGCCTTACGATTTTTCTTGTCTCCAAATTTTTTTTCTGGTCAAAACTAAGTGTGGATTCGTTTATACCAGACACTAGACAATGTCATATAAAAACATCAGTTGATTTAAAAATGTCGACCAGCCACCCTTTGGTCGATCTTATCTGAAATCACCCTCCTCAAGAGCTGCGCTCTAATCCGGCGTTAGAGGGAGTTGTAAACCGCTTTCCTTTTTTTAGCTCAATTTAGCGGTTTTCTCGGTTCGTCGCACGGCGGGATTTTTAGTGGCTTTCAAGTCTTGCTAGAGTTTTTACTGCCGGTCTACAATATTCTAAGGTTTACATTTATCAATCATTTTTAGATTAATTTTTGAGGAAAGTTAGGGTCGTGAGGGTTGTCATTTTTGCTTTGTCTCAGGAAAATTGCCGTCAGAGACAGCAAAGCTTGTGACGCCATTGAGATATTACAGTGACACACCTTGAAACTTGTTTTGCAATGTTTTCCGAGGGATTATATATGAATAAATTCATTTTACAAGTCTGCCAGGTGAAATGGGCCAAGTTAAAGGGGGATTTCAGTTAAAGACGAAATCGAAATAAATGACTGGCATTGCTTTAGTGGCACGAAATATGATCACAGCCGGAATATTACGTCAATGTGAAGCTGCGTATTCCATTAAAGCCAGTTTTAAATATGGAAGCAGCTGATATTACGCTGATGGCAAGCGAGTTAGCTTTTAGTCAAGGCACACTGGCCGCAGCACCCTCAGTGACTTCACGTTGCGGCCATACACCTGCTCGTCAGTTTGGCCGTCTCTCTAGCAGGTAGTTTCGGTTTTGCCGTAGACGCCCAAAACCAAGATTTGAGCCGTGATATTAATACAACTATACAGAACATCGATAAAATGTTATACCTTGTAATTCAGGGAAACTGACTGAGCTGAGGAGAGTCGTAATCCCAAATTCGAAAGTATTGTCCGGAGTTGCCCATTAATTATACATACGAATTCAGAGAACTTTGGGACTACAGGATTCCAAACTTCAAGATTGGTTAGCGGAAGTTCCATGGCAACATTAGTTCTGTCAGAGAGCTGTACTGTAAAAAGGAAGTCTTGCAAAGCCTGTGAATTCGCTCACTGAACCTTTGAAGTGTCACCGAATATTGCACTAGCAATTGTTGGGATATGGAGTGTACGTCGGCAGGTATGGTATGACAACACGCTTGCACCTTGAAGCAGTATGATCATGCAGTGGACATCATTCTGTGCATACGGAAGCGATCCGAGTCAAACAACATATACCTGCGTTCTACGGGTTCTTTTTTTTTTTACTATACTGTCTTTAGAAGAAAAAAAAAAAGGCAACAACAATTACAGCAGTAATTCTAAGGTTAATAAGCCATTCCTGCCCTCCTCTTGAAAGTTAGGGGTTTCCAGTGGTTTCGGAAGATTTCTATTGCGATCTTTCTTAAATTTAAAGTTGGCGACACCGGTTGAGCCAGTGTCCCTCTTCTGGGGGCCCCATCTGGGCACTTGGCAAAAAAGTTGCCCAGAAATCGGGCGGCCGCGATTGGCTGGCGCCACGCTTGACCTTGGCGCCGGCCAATCACAGCCGCCAGATTTCGCTTACTTTTTCGCCAAGTGTCCGGATTAGGGCCCCTGATGAGTTATATATAGGGTTCGGAGTTTTAAACCGATAAAAACCGATAAAAGTACGCCGAATCCATTTTCGGAAATTCGGTTTTAACCGAAAAAGGTCAGTTCTTAGGTTCGGCATTTTTTTATTAAAACCGATAAAAGTATGTCGAATCAATTTTCTAAAATTCAGTTCTAACAGGAAAATGTCACTTTGACCTTCCAGTCGTACCGCAGAGCCGTGGCGAAAACGTGGAACAACAGTGTCTTTCGAAACGTGTCCGAATGTATGGGATACACGGATGCCATCACGACGTTTTGGTTTAATGTGCGCATCATCGATCGAAACTTGAAGTCCGAAATGCCCCATAACTTTGCCATGTACGAGCGTGTTTTCAAATTCGTTGTAAGGAAGACTGACTTGATGCAAGCTCTGCATTCTGTGTTGAGCTTCACAAAGTCGCACCGTGTCTCTTTTGGCGGTCACAATTGGTTGATTAACCAAGTTTGGCTCAGGCAGCGCTTCCTCTCAGCCTGCCAGCGTCCAGTATTAGTGTTGAGAGGGCATTCTCGAAGCTCAGGGCCATAGCAACAGGAAAGAAAGACTGCGGATCAACGAGGAGAACCTGGGAACGTACATCTGGGTGTACTATTATAAGATAACGTAATCCTGATGTACAGAAGGTGAAGTTCTATGTTTTTCGGGCATAGGCTTTATATCTGACTTGTTCTTGCTTCTCAGGTTTTTCCTTGTTTCTTTTAGAGCTGCACACATTTGCCAAATAAAGTGTCCATTTTTTTTTCAATGTACCTATGCCGTTATTCTTTGAGATCACAAGTATCAGAGCTACAAGGATCATCCGATCCGGTGTCCGTTGGTGTTTATTTTATATTCACCGAAAAAAGCCGATAAACTTTTGTGGGCATAAATATACGCCGAAAAACACCGAAAATTGAATTTTAAAATAAACACCGAAAAAAGTACGCCGAATTTCGGAAAAATAGAAACCGAAAACGCAGAACCCTAGATATAGTGCTCATGGGTAGGTGCTATATGCCCCGTTTCACACAAGGTCCCACTGCAGCCGACACCATGATCCGGTGAAGTAAATCAAGCGGCGCCAGGAGCGCATGCATCGTCAAGGAGCCCGTCGTCTTTTCGCGTTCGCCGTCACCGGCAAAACCGATCACGCAAAAAAAAAAAAAAAAAAAGCGCCGGATCAGGAGTCATTTACTCTGTGTGATTGGCTTAGCGTGTTGGTGAGCAAACGCACAAGTACCCGACGAGTACCATGACGACGCACTTTTTGGCGCTGCGTGGTTGGCCCTATGGGATTGTGTAGCGACGGCCGCGTTCAGACTTGGAGTCAAACGGAGTAGAATGTTCGACGATCCGACTATTCCTAGATTGCGTAATCTTCATAAGCGATCGACCCTTTCGGGCATGTTTCGCAACCTCTATTTCTGCGGCGCGTAAAAAAAAAAAGAAAAAAGAAAAAGATTTGTATGTATTGGAGAGTTTTATGTAAGCGTTTTTGTACGGTTGTATTCGTGAAGCGGTGCATGCTGGGACCAGCGCCATCTTGCCGTCCTCGGGAGCAGACAGTCGCACAGTCGCGTACGGACAACCGCATCCTACCTTTTCAAACTTCAGGCGAAGCCGCAGCCGCGCTTTCTGCCTCGGGTATGGTGTCGTGTGTGGTGGTAGGTTGCCACAACAAGACGCAATCGTCAAAGAAGAAAGAGTGCAAGGTCGCAGACGCTCGGTTCTTTAAAATACCGAAGGTGCGGACTCGTGAATGCGACACGACGCGAACACTGTCCGCGAGGAGACAGCGAGAATGGTTGAAACGCATCAACAGAAAAGACCTGGACGCTGACCTCGACAAGTACAAGGTGTGCTCACGCCACTTCGTCTCGGGTGAGTGTCGGCATAGTTTGTTTTTCTCTGACATTAACTTCCTGGAGCTTTTCGAATCAGTGGGCTAGGCCTACTTGCAGCGCAAGTTCGATCGAAGTTAGTTGGTTCAGTCATTCTAAAGGATCTTAAAAACACTCGAATGCGAGCTTTCTGTCGCAGGAGCGGGAGAAACAGGATTTAGATAACTATTTTACATTCATGAGCACGATTTTCTGTTTTTATTTTTGCCTTGCAGCAATCTTTAAGGGGTGCCACTGCTCCGGCGGAAAATCGGACAGCTGTTCCGTGTTCTCCCCTTTAGACGTCTTTTGATCGATTCTTTACATTGTGCAGGGGCAGCGGCCGATCTTTTTGACGACTGCAACCCTGACTGGGCACCTAGCCAACATTTGGGTTATGCATCCACGCTCGACGGCCCGCACTCGGGTCGCTACGTACGGCTGAGTCGTCGTCGGCATACGCGTCCGCAAAAACATGAAAAGTTAGGCTCACCTTCGAGACGATGATCACGCTGTCCGCGTTCGCTGCTTTCATTGCCGGCTCCTGGACCCATCCGCTCGTAAGGTAATTATGGGCGTCTAATGATTTGTACGCTTTTAGCTGCTTGCGCGTCACGAAACTTGTCTTGAGGATCAGGTAGTTGTGTATGTCGCCCATTTCTACCTGCGGCCATAGGTTGCTGTTCCGGACTAGGTCCATCGGCGGCAGCGCGAACGGATCCGCGCCACACATTTTAACCTTTTCCTCGTAACGTGTGCGTTCCCGTCCGCTTAAACTTAGGCCGTATAAACCCAGCGGTGGACAACCACTTGAAGAAGACATCTTCACGTTAGCGGGCGAGCAAACACCATAAATACGTCGCACTGCAACGGTGCGTGCGTAACGCCTCCGTCACCTGTCGCTGGGCGCTACGGGAGTGCGCGCGCGGCTGTCTGCTCTCGAGGACGGCAAGATGGCGCTGGTCCCAGCATGCACCGCTTCACGAATACAACCTATACCATGGGCCCTCCAGTATGAACTGCGCATGTGCCACTGTGGAAGACTGGCGCATGCGCAGTTCGTACCGGAGGGCTCATCGCACCATATCGGACGTGCAAATACGGTTCCCTAAAACTCTCTAGCGTCTGATGGTACGTTTACACCTGAGAAGAAATCCGCTGCCGCGGGAGCGGATCCGCTCCCGGCGGCGGCGGCGACGAGCGGGTTGCGTTTACATCTGTTTCCTTCGAGCAGTGGCGGCAGCGCCGGCTGCGGCAGCGCTTCCCGTAACGTCTCGACAAATATGACGAGAAGGCGCGAGAGTTCCCGCCTCGGCTCTCTCTCTCCCGGGCGTTGCGGCTCCCGGAAGAACGCGTACTCGTGACGTAGGCAGCGTCGCGCCGCGCAAGAATGCCACTTCCGGTCAGCGAAACGCCTCGTTCGGCGGCAGAAATAGATCCCGGACCTAAACGGCTCGCCGCCGCGTTTTCCGCCCAGCGTTTCGCCCCAGCGGCAAAAGCTGGGCGGATTCGCTGGCGGATCCGCAAGTGTAAACGTACCATGAGGCGTGTTTCTTGATCGAACGACGGTCCTACCACATTGGCCGTGCAAAAACTATTTGCAGATATACTCGAAGTATACATATATGTATAAACCAAACATGCTTCAAACATGTTTGAGGTGTGGCCCTCAATAATTATATATCAACACCGTGTCTTCTGTACGATTACACTTCGTCTTATCTCAACTCCAGACGCAGACGATGCTACGAGCCCATGGGACCAATCCGACTGCGTTAAAAGTGCACCATCATGGAGTTCGCCATGTTTATGTACACGTGTTTTATCGTCGCTGAACCAATCCTAAATCGAAAAAAAAAGGCCCAGTGATTTGTGCTTTTGAAGCTGCTGGACTGCTTCAATCATCAGTTTGTAGTGCCGACTTCGTAGGGACTAAAAGGCTGACGACCAGACTCAAGATTCTGCAAGGCAGAAGATCCTCCTCACCATGGGGGAGGAGGAAACAGGCGACGGTGAATAGAAGGGGAGAGAGAAGGAAGCGGGGGAAAAGCGGAAAGCGTGAACTGGTCGTTGATCTTTTAGCTGAAACGGATTATATACATACTACCTTCACACTTAACCAGAGACTACGGTGGAAGCTACGTACCCGCCGCACCCATCAGCGGCCTCCCTCTTGTCACCTGAAACGGCTCTCGGCGCGTGGGTATGGCTGGGAGCCTGATGACGTGGCGAAAGAGAGGCGTATGACTGGTCCAACGAAGACATAGCTTCCACCGCAGTCTTAGTTTATAGGGGTGAGCGGAGTATTGCACTGTGACTTAAGGGTGCTGACGAGAACGCTAGAGATAGGATACTGGTGCTCTTAGAGGCATCCCAGGGATACTGTTTAAGAGCAACATGTTTACAGAGAGCCCGAACCTCGCCGGACACATTTGCTATGCACAGAGACCCTAAGTGGAGATGCAATAAAGCACGAATCACGCACGAGACCAGCATTCTGACTTTGTTAACTGACATGCTGTCTAGTAACAAGTGTGAAGCGGCTACGCAGACGCCGTGGTGACCTTAGCGCCACCGCAGCCGCATGACGCCAGAGCCGTATATCGGTACATGTGTATATACTCGATAATTAAAAGGTAAAAGCTTTATGACGAGCGCCTTAGCAATTAAGAGAGTTGCAAGTGTGTTGCTCTGTTCGCGTCAAGATTTCAGAGAAAAATTAACATGATCTTGTATTTTTAAGTCCAAATCAATACGTATTATATATAAAAAAATGTATGGCACATTGCTGGGTTATAATTGTGTCAGATACGTGAAACGCTTAGCATCACGTGACATCACGTCACGTGACGTCGATTTCCCCGCAACATTTAGTGGGGAAATTGTATTGGCGCCTAGGTTATACGGGACATTTATTTTCCCCCTAAATTTAGCGGGGAATTGATGTCAGGTGTCCTGATGTCACGTGATTATGCACCAATTCAACTTCCCCAGTAAATTTAGCGGAGAAAATGAATTGGTGCGTAGGTCTGTGACGTCACATAAATAGGGTTCCGCGTTTTCGGATAAATGCGCTAAAATCCGAAAAAAAAAAAAAAAATAAACTCTCGCCGGTAAATATATTTCGAATTCGGATTTATCCGAAAAACTCAGAATTCAGAAGCTCAGTCTTTGGGACGCAGAAGCTTCCGAAACCCAAAGACACTTTCTTCGTTCACTTTTTATTGTTTTCAAATTCGTTCGTTCGAATTTGCCCTTTCCACAGGTGTACAAAAAGTTATGCACTCTGAACCCTGATCAGAAGAAGCAGGCCTCTTCCCTCCGAACCGAAGCCGAATACGTAGCCAAGTCAAACGGAGCCTTCCTCTCGGATACGTGGCTTTCGAAGACCGTCTCTCGCCCTCCTGTGACCTCCATTTATTGCAGACGGAATTTTTGCAGACGTTCCCCTGTCATCCTCGTTGACGACAGAAATTCGAGATTCAGCCAGTTGCATTAATGCGGGGATTTGGGACAGTTAGTTAATGATCGTAAACAAGCTCCTAAAAAAAAATAGACCAGGACAAAAAGTTGACGTAAACACTGGCGCACTCGCAACGAACATTCATTAAAAAAAGAATCCTTTATATAGTCGTGAAAAACATCAGACCCGACTACAACCGATCTTGCCTTCCATCAAGTTTTTGCCAAAAATGTTCCAAATATTGACTGAATAAAATTGTAACTGCAGTTACACTCCGAATTAAATAAAAGAAAAAAATTAGCTTAAAAAACATTCTTTTATTTTCTTCAAAAATTATCGCCGAAAACGCAGAATGCTATCCATAATGCAACACTGCGCGCGTTGCATTATGGGACGTAACAGACCTACACACCAACTGTACTTCCCCGCCAAATTTAGTGGAAAGAATGAATTGGTATGTTAAAAGTCGGAGCCACACCAGCGGTCTATTTATATTTTATTGAAGTCTAGACGTACATTTTCAAACTCGTCATTTGCCGAGATCACTAGGTAGATAGCATCAATTGGCTCTTTCAAGTACTTTGTGACGAAGAACAGAAGAAGTTCCAGGGTTCTTAGGGTGACAACAGAACCCTGTTTGACAACTAAAAAAAAAGTTTGTATTACACAAAATAAGGCTGCTCAACGGGTGTAGCCATGGGTGTAACTCCCTGGAGCACATTTTGTTCACTCATGCAGTGTACATTTTTTTAGTGTCTAGATTCATCCGGAGTCGTCCTGACAACGTAATCGCACGAGCAAGAGTAGTAGAGGCTTACAAAATTACTCACCTCCAACTTCCATTCGACGGTCACTTGCGCGACCTTTTGCAAGGAATAGCTTTTTCCTGAGAAATAGTGTCAGTCGCTGCGCTTTCGTCCACAGCTCAGTGACTCGGCAGTTTTCGGCAGGGTGATAAGTGCTGGAATGGTGTGCGCAGTGACTCTACACGTTCGTTTATCCGCCATTAATTTATATGCCGCTGCAAAAAAAATTAATTTTTTTTTCGACGTAAAGACTATTTAAGCGTTTTTAAATGTTCATTTTGTGCCTAAATGTAGCACTAGCGGTTCGAACTTAAGTCCCTAGATAAGAGCATCCTACAAGTAGCGACATTTTTTGAAGCCCCGACTTCGTGACGGTGGGGGCGAATGGCGGCGCACAGCAGACGACTCAACTCCATTTTGTTCCAGCGGAATGTGCTTTGTCAATTATATTGGTTGTCGTTACTTGTAAAAGAAGTATCCCGAAACTCTAGTCCGAACCGGATGCTAAAGTTGTAGCACTAACCAGTATTTTCTTCAAAAGTTATGATTTTCTAAAAAAATTTTAAATTGTAAATTGGCGACCGGCGGAGCTATTGAATGCGTGAAACTGTTTTCCCATTGAAATAATAAAAAAAAAATCCTTTGTAACTTATGATTTTTTATACTTTGTCTGATGCTACGATGTACTAAAGGGCAAAGCTACGGTCCGCCAGGTCCAATCACGTTCCACGTTGAACTATGACATGGTTAACACTGATTATAGGTGGACGAATAGTGCTCCGAATCAAAAAGCGCTGCCTCATGCTTATAGCTCCGACAGTGCAAATAGCTTGTATGTCGTTACCTTCTTTGCAACGTAAAATTGATGAGTCACTTAGTGCAATTCGATTCGAACTACTGTCCGCCCATCCCTATTAGTGATCCGAGACGCGGGCACCGATATATATGCGCATCGAAGCGCAATACCATGCAATTTTTAAGCGACTCGTGATTGGACCTGGCGGTTCGCAGCTTTTGCCTTTAGGTCATCGTAAAGTTAGACGAAGTATACTCAACTCGGTCGGCGAAACATTGGGCTGTGCCACTGCGTCACAACAACTATTCAATACAATCATTCAAGTACACATTTCCTACTATATTGAGCACCCTAATAAAAATTACATTGATATTATTACAATTGCAATTCAGGAA